TCGATTTTCTTCCCTCACTTACTAGCCTCCTTTCAATTCCTATTTGTCTAAGTTGAATCAGAGTGCTCCCATGGCTTCTCCTGTTTCAGCCTAGAGTGTTGCACCCTAAGCTGACTCTCTTGCTGGTCCCTGCACATGCGTCCCAGGTTGACTCTCTTGCTGGCCCTTGCACATGCCTGCTAGGCTACCTTGCTTGGGTGATAGCTGTTACCATGAGTTCTAAGGAAAACCATTTCTTAGCTATTCTGATAAAGTAGGATGTAATTCTTTTTCTTTTTCTTTTTCTATTTTATTGATTTTTTACAGAGAGGAAGGGAGAGGGATAGAGAGCCAGAAACACCGATGAGAGAGAAACATCGACCAGCTGCCTCCTGCACACCCCCTACTGGGGATGTGCTCACAACCAAGGTACATGCCCTTTACTGGAATAGATCCTGGGACCTTTCAATCCGCAGACTGATGCTCTATCCATTGAGCCGAACTGGATTCAGCAGGATGTAATTTTTGTACTAAGTATTGTGGACTACATTTTTTTTTTTTTTTTTTTTTTTTGCCTTCCCTCTCCCAGAACCACATGCTGTAGCCTCAGTCCCGAATGTGCTAGTATTTGGAGGTGGGACCTTTGGGAGGTTTAGGTTTAGAGAAGGTTGTAGGGTAGAGCCCCCATAATGCAATCAGTGCTCTTAGAAAAAGAAGAGATCAGAGACCCTCTCTCTTTCTGTCATGTTGAGGTACAGGCTAAGAAAAGAGCTCTCCCCGGAACACAATCCTGTGGCACCTTGATCATGGACTTCTAGCCTATGAGAACTAAATTTGTTCCAGCTATCCAGTCTGTAGTATTTTTGTTACCGTGGCTTGATCTGACTAAGCCACTAATTGTATCAAGTTCTAGCAGGGATTCAAAGTGCCCATCATGGCCCATGAGGGCATCCCATTAAAGAGAATATCAAGGGTTTCCATGAAGACAAAGAAAAAACAACATGCTGCAATATACCATCTGAGGAATAAAAAGGAAATTTCTGACATGCTAATAGGAGCTTAAAAGGCAATTGCCAGATAAAATACAGGCCTACCAGTTAAGTCTGAATCCCAGGTAAACAAGGAATCTGCTTTTTAGTGTAAGCGTGTTCCATTTGGCGCCTGGTGTTTTTATGTGCTAAATCTAGCTAACTTGGCCTCAGAGTCTTGCTACTCAAATTGCAGTCCAGAAGCCAGCAGCAATTGCATATTCTGGAAGCTTGTTGGAAATGCAGAATCTCAGGCCTCCTCCAGACTTCTTGAATCAGAATCTTCATTTTTAACAAGATGCCCAAGAATTTAGCCTGCATATCAATGTTTGAGAAGCATTGTTTTAAAGTTTGCAACCTATTTTTATGGACATTACTACATTGGTTTTTTAATTATGCCACAAGGCTGGAAAGGAAAGCAGGGACAGGGTCCTCTTGATGACCTGGTATTATCAGAATAAAGATTTGAATGTTGACAGGGTCACGGCCACCTGCCAATTTCCTCCCATCAAAGGCCACAGTCTCCTCCTCATGTTCTACCTCCTGTTTCCAGACTAGTTTAGCTATTAAAGCAGAGTGAGATCTCCCGGGGATGGATGAAGGTGGGGGCAGGGTACAAAGGTGGGTCAATATTCTAGGGGAGCCAGTACTCACGCACCCTTGACCATTAGCTCAACACAGCAGATTTCACCCTGTGGCTGCTATAGCAGCCACATGTATGTGTCTCCTGTTCTCTCTATTTCAAGTCATTAATTTCAACAGATGCCATTCATTTAATAATAGCTATTTGGAAAAATAAAATAATCACTGAGGTAAATGGACATATCCACCATAGGAGTAATTTTGATTTCAGAAATGTCAAATGTGAAATAGGTATGTTTCTGAATCAAGGAAGCGTGGTAAAGAGCTATGGAGTAGCATTCAGAAAATAATCAGGAGGAATACGGGTGATGGAAGACAGGCCTGACTAAATACCTAGATCAATAAAAGGGTGGCAGGAGTGGATGTGACTGAAGAATGTGGCTGAAGGAGTCAATAAAACATAAAGAGAGGGAATATGTCTGGGTTATCAGTGGTTTCTTCCTATAGGCTCGAGTGTTGCAACTCCAGACTGTGACAATCTCTATCGATGCTAATAAGCATTGCTGTTCCATTTCCATTAACACCTGTCAATGGATTTTTTTTTTAAGTTCTGGTTCTTTTATTTCAGATGGATGATAAGAATAACCTTTCTTTCTTCTTCTTTTTTTAAAACAAGCATTCTTAAATGTCTGTCATAGAAAAATCTATACTTCAAAAGTAGGAAAAAAATCGGTCATTATCTGCTTTAAAAATAGATTTTTCAACTTACAAAATTTCAGTTAAATTTCTTTAAGTGAAAAAGTCTCCAGAGCAATTAATATTTGAATAAGAAAAACTTTCAATTAAATTTAATTCAACAAGTCTTTATTGGTTATCTACTTATTATGCTATTAAATATAAAGTTATAATATGCCAGTAGAAAATTTTTAAAAAAAGGAACTAAAAGAAACAATAAAATTATTATAATTCAAGTCACAAATATTTGACAGCTTCATCTTTTAAAAAATATACTGGGTTGCATTCTGGCATATTTTTGCAAATGATTTTATTGCATTAAGTTTGATGAGTTCTCTCACCTGCATCAAGTCCTGCAATGGCTTCCCATGGTCCTCAGGACAAAATTAAAATCTGGTCTCTGAGTACTGTTCCAGGCACTGTTCCAGGACCACCTATGTGGTCCTTTCCTAAGCCTACAGTCCCACAGTATGGAAGTTCCAAAATCCACTGTGCCTTTTCATATGTTGACAGACCACATTGCCATGTCTTAGCATTTAATCCACAGAGCCGTGCATGATATCTGGACAGAAGTAGTGCTTAAAGATACTTCAGATTGAATGATTGACTTAATGAATCAATGTAGGTTCATTAAATATTTTTTAAATATATAATATGTTTTTATTGATATTATATATAGAGAGAGGAAATGAGAGAGATAGATAGAAACACCAATGACATGGGCTATCTCCTGCTCTCCCTCTCTCCCCCCATCCCCCTCCGGGCAATGGGATTTAACCCATAACTCAGGTACTGACTGGGAATCAAACCTGCAATCTCCTGGTGCATGGGATGATGCTCAACCAACTGAGCCACCCTGGCCAGGGCAGATTCACTAAATCTTTTTTAGAGCTAAGAATCTGTTTCATTTGTTCTCCTAATCTGGGGAGAGTTGTGTTTTACAGGCAGGATATAAAAGTGAAAAGAATATTGGGCCAGGGTTTGGGAGATTTCAGCTGTCACTCTTGTTAGTTGGGTCATCTTGGACTAATCCTTTACCCTGTCTGTGATGCTAATGGACAAAATGAGGAACTTGGCTGAACCATCCCAGTCACCTCTAGCTCTAACTTCAATGATCTTTACCTTCCCCATTCATTTTCTTGATGACATGTAATCCCCTCCCCAGTCCACACTGCAGCCACTTTTTACTTGCTATCTTCAAAGTTTGAAGCAACCTGTGTAACCATCCATGGGTATGTGGTTCAAAACACAGCCTTCATTTTTGCCAAGACTGAAAGGTAAACACAGATGGGAAACAGCAGCTCAGAAAGTCAGCCACTTTATCCTTTAGGCCATCTGGTCATCCTTCACAATGTCTTTCTGTTCAGTCGTCAGGAAAAGAACATTAGAGGCTGTTAGATCACGGCTGCATTTGCTGGCCAATGGTCTTTGTCCTAAAAGGCCAGACACTGGTAAATTACTAGGCATTTTTGAAGAGCATGTTGTTGATATCGTGAATATCTTTCTGTACCTCATGATCTAAAGTTTGCATATTGATATTTTGGAGCTACTTGAAATATAGCTTTTTTCCATAGCTGTCTAGTCTTCGCTTTGCCAAGGTTTCCCCAGCAAGCTAATGATATGACCGCCAATAGATGCTAAAAACCACAACTCGACAGTGTAAGAAAAACACCTAATGAGCATCTCACTGAATGCCTGCTTACCTTCTGTACTTTCTTCTGAAGTTAACATCCATGTGTCTTCTTGCTGCCTTTTGATCACAGTTGCTTCATATGGCCCAAACTGCCCAATAAGTCTCCAGAACAGACACCCCTCTTAGCTTCTCCACCTGCTGGTCAATCCCCAAAGGTTCCTGAAGGCCAATTTACCAGCTGCTCTACCACCTGCATCCCCACTGGGGAGGGTTCGGGCAGATCCCTCTCTTGGTGTCCTGACCTGCTTGCCAACCCCCAGCCAGCCAGTTCCCCCATCCAACTTCTCCACCCTATGACAACTCTGGCCAAGTCCATTCCTGGGCTGAACCAAGAAATGGAGAGATTTCATATCAAGTGGCGATAGCATTGGGGTGACAACAGAACCATCTCTCATCAGGGGGCTTTAGTGGGACTTCCCAGGCACGGGACCTATGTGAGTGCTCTCCTGCTTGTCCCTCAGTCATGTTATTTCCCCTTCCCTTTCAATGAGCACTTCAAGACACGTTTTATCTTCAAGGGTGAAAAAATTACAGTTGAATTTTCACTTCCTGTTTAACTTGTGATTAAAACACACACACACACACACACACACACACACACACACACACACAGCACACCAGCAAGCTGTGCAAATTTAACTGCGGATAAAAATAGCTCCCTTGCCTTAAAGTCATTAAGTGAACATAAAAGGCTCATCGTGATCTCAGGATATCCGTAACCTGGCATCTGTCACCAGGCCTCCATCCTCATCCAGAGGCACGGCGCTCAGAACAAGGATTCCACGCTTAATGGCACCTTGAGAGTAAGTGCTCCCAGGTGCCCATCAAACCTGTCACTCTGAACAGCTGCAGCTAAGTGACGACTTGTCCCCTCCACCCTCCGTTGCTTTCTGCATAAACAGGTCTGCGGAGCTGTGCCAGGAGTGCCTTCCGGAGCCGGATGCACAGAGCCCCGTCCGCAAGAACAGCGAGCCGCCCCTCACCTGGCTTTGCTGTGCCCGTTCCAGCATTCCTCTTCGTTGGACGTGCCCGCGGTCACGCTCTCATCCTTGCAGATGGTGTAGGGCAACGCCGACCAGACCTTTTTAGAGAGCTTCAGCTTCTCTTTTATGTCTGTGACCTGATCAAGAAAGCAAGGGAAGACAGTGACCATTCTCCCCAGGTGCTGTCCATCTCTACACAAGGCATAACGTAGGGGTGGGTGAGAGAATGTGCGATAGAACCAGTACAAACTGTAGGTTTTAAGAGAGAGACAGGATTTGTTGCCCAGGAAAGCCTCCTTCCCTCCTCCCTCAGTCTTCCTCTAGCTTCTGGCAGAGAGCTCTATGTAATCTGCTTTTTGTTTTCCACCTTTTATTTCCCCTCTATCCTTTGAGTTAAAAACTTAAGAAGCATCTCAACTGGCTCCAGGTCCCTCTTCAAAGGGGAGAAGTAAGTGTGCCTTACTGCAAACACCCAAATACATTCTTTAGAATTCATCTGCCTGGATGTCAGATAAATGCACCAAGAGATGAAACATCTTTCCCAATGGTCTACTTGTTTCTGCAAGAAATACATACTGTCACTAATTCAGCTGCTGTAACCTCTGCTCCTGACTAATTGACAGGTCCATATAGCACACACTTGGTGGGCAGCAACCCATTAAAAAATCTCTATTGCCAAAGAGAAAAAAGTTATTCCAAACACAGGCAAGTGTATCATCCACAGCCCTGTGGATGGGTGGCCCGGAGAAGCTTAGTCACACCATCTTTAGTGTTTTCAGGCTCCACATTGACTGTGCTCCTGGGATAGAGTAGGCAAGAAATTCAGTCCCATTTCAGTTCCATAATTAACACCTAGGATCATGCAGTCACAACCTTGATTTCCTGCTCTACTTACATGAACATGGGGAAAGTGTTTATACATTTGAAATGCATCTGCTATAGGTTGAATTATGTCCCCCACGTTCATATGCTAAAGTCCCAGCCCCCAGATCCTCAGAATGTGATCTTATTTGGAGAGATGGTCTTTATAGAGGCAAAGAAGTTTAAAATGAGGTCATTTGGGTGCTCCAATCCAGTAGGACTGGTGTTCTTACAAAAAGGGGAAATCTGGACACAGATATGCACAAAGGGAGCATAGGGAAGAGACCTCAACCTACAAGCCCAGGGAAAGGCCTGGGAAAGACCCTTTCCTCAGAAGGAACCAATCCCGCTGACACCTTGATTTTGAACTTCTAACTTCCTGAACTGTGAGACAATAACTTTCTGTGGGTTGAAGCCATCCAGTCTGTGGTACTTTGCTTTGACATTCCTAGCAAATCTATATATGACCTCGGAAGGGAGAACCACTGAGACTTAATGGTGGTGGTGTACATTTGAGATCAATAGTCTTTGGGCACAAAGTATTCTGTGTTTACTGTGGATGGAGTACAGACTTGAGAAAAAAATTTCCAAAGATCTTTTGTCAGGTTTAAGAGTGAACACAAAGACAAAAAAGACTCTGACAATTGATTTTGGCTCCGGTCATGTTTCTCAGTAGTTCTAGAATGACAGTTCTTGGCTCCTGCTTCACTGTGGTCCTGATGATGACAAGGGGCTTCGGTCCTGGGATGCATCTGCTCACCCATGAAGTGCTAAAGATGAAGGGAATGCTGAATCAGAGAAACTGGTACCTCTCTTTGAATAGTGGAGTGCTACCTTTGCTTTAGAGTGTGAAGAACAATTCACAAGTAATGACATTCCAAGAATAACTTACATACCAGAAGTGTTTAGGAGGTCCTAAAACCTGCACTCTGAGTCTCCCTCCTCCTCCCCACCCCCCACATTCGTTCCTGTGACCTTGGCCCACAGACTCTCCTGGCTTGCCATCCTGGCAGTAAGAAAGTTTGTAATAAGAGCCTGTCCTTTTCTGCTCACTTCTCTAGGCACAGATGTGTGTGTATGTTGTTATTCATTTTTATTTCTTTTAGTTTTAAAGATAAGTGTCATTCCTTGATAGATGGCACATAGATGGATATACATTCTGTTTCTCAATTACAAAAAAATCCAACTTCTCAAATATCAACTGATAAATGTTGAAAGAAAGCTAGTTAGAAAAATCACCATTCCGCACCCACCATGGTACTACCAGATCTCAGCAAATATCATCAATGAATTGTGTCCCCTGCAAAAGGTGCAGGAGTCAGAACCACCAGTACCTGCGACCATAACCCTATTATGAAATAGGGTTGTCAAAGATGATGGAGTTAAAAGGGGATCTTGAGGGTGGGCCCTGATCTAATGTGAATTTGTCCTTGTAAAAGGGAAAATTTGAATACAAAGACTGAGACACACAAGGGGAAGATCACATAAAGATGAAGGCAGAGCTGGGGTGATGCATCTACAAGTAAAGGAATTCGGAGGACTTCCAGAAAAGTCCTAGATGCTGGGGAGAGGCCTGGGGCAGACTCCCCCTCCCAGCCTCAGAGAAAACCAGCCCTGCTGACACTGGGCTCCCAGACCTCCAGCCTTGAGACTGTGAGACATTCAATTCTGTTGTCATAAGCCACCCACTTGGTGATACTTTGCTGCAGGAGCCCTAGCAAACCAGGACAAATATGAAAAATGTTGAGTAAAAGGTCTGATGGAGAGCAGGATATTTACACAATCCTGAAGTACAGTCCCCCCCAGATGATGTATTATTACAGAGGGAAAACTGGCCAATTTACAGGGCAAGAAATTGGCAGGTCCCCAAGTGATCAAAGTGATCAAAGTATCAGGACAAATTGATGTCGTGTACCTCCTGATGCGATGTGACAAGAAGGGCACATCATTTCTGCAGCTAAAATTCATAAACTGAATCCAATTATGAGGACACATGAGACAGACACAAAGCTAGAGACTTTTTGCAAAAACAACTGCCTTGTACTAGTCAAAACATCAGTCACAAAAGACAAAGAAAGGCTGAGAGTTTTTTCCAGATTAAGAAGAATAAGAGATATGGCACCTAAGTGTAGTACCCAGCTGTGGATTGGATGCTAAATTGGAAAATAATATCCATCAAGGACATTATTGAATAGGTGGCAAAATTTGAATAACAGCTCCATATCAATAGAATGTTGTATTCATGTTAAATTTCCTGAATATGAAATTGTATTCTGGTGATATAGAAGAATATTATCTTCATAGGAGATGCATGCTAAAGTATTTAGAACAAAAGAGTTATAACTGTTATAATTTCCAAAACTTACTCTAGGATACCTTAATCATCATCATCATCTAATAATCAATATAGAGATGCATGAAGAAACAGAGAAAACAAATTTAAAAATTTAAAAGTATATATTTTATTGATTTTTTTATAGAAAGGAAGGGAGTGGTTAGAGAGTTAAAAATATTGATGAGAGAGAAACATCGATCAACTGCCTCCTGCCCACCCCTACTGCCTCCTGCACACCCCTACTGAGGATGTGCCCACAACCAACATACATGCCCTTGACTGGAATCAAACCTGAGACCCTTGAGTCCACAGGCCAACGCTCTATCCACTGAACCAAACCAGTTAAGGTCAAATGTGGCAAATTTTAAATGAATAGTGAACGTAGATGAAGCTATATAATTTTTTGAAATGCATTTTTTTGGTAAGTTTGAATTGTTTTCAAAATTAAGTTTGTCAGAAATAAAAATTCTCAGCTTTGGTGTCTTTTACCTCCAATCTGGGCTCCCACCTCCAGGCTACTCATTGTCAGTGTTCACAAACACAAACCCCAGAGAAAGAGTCAGGTGTTGCCTCTTCATAACTCATTCAGGAAACTTTCCCCAGCCTCAGGACCGAAATATGTAAGGCTTTTTCTGCTCCTTTAGAAAGGATAGCAGGAATAAGCACCCATTTTCTGATTATTTCATAACAAAGTTACCACCTTTATGCTGAGAGAATATGAACCAAATATGTTTTTGTTTTGTTTTTTTGACACAGAGAAAGAATAAAATTACATTATGTTCCACAGGTATCTCCTCTTTTAATATTTTCAAAATTTAAATGTGTGTGTGTGTGTGTGTGTGTGTGTGTGTGTGTGTGTTATGCTAATCATTCTTTAACTAAATTTAAGCATTGTTTCTTCCAAGGTGTGCTCTGTCCCCAAGTTATATTAGATTCAACGGTGTGTTCCTCAGTGGCCTGTTCATGATTCCAAGTACGGGTCACCTCAAACTTATAATTGTACCTTTTCTTATTTGCTCTTCAATCACATGCTTCTTGATGCAAAGATAAAGCTCTAATTTGTCTGAGGATGGGTCAGGTGACCAATCATCTCAGTTTGCCCAGGACATGAGGGATTACAGGACTCTGAATTTTTCAGTGCTAAAATTGGAAAGCCCTGGGCAAACCAGAGCAAGTTGGTCACACAGGTTTCTGCACACAGTAGGTGCTTAATAAATGTCGATTGAGAAAATGGATTTAATTGTCTCACTCTATTACCAGGTCACAGACAATATTGCTTAGACAAAATGTTTGGGGGTCACACAAAGTGCGCTCTTGTCTCCAAGGGGATGAGAGGAGCCATGCAGCTAAGTGAGGATGTGGATTCTCTCTGATGAGTCCCCACACAGCACAGGTCATGCATGAGCAGGCTGTGTGCACCCCGGCATGTTCAGTGTGCAATCGAAGGAGATAACAGCAAAGGAGCAGTGGGAGATGTAAATGCCTTTTTCACATTCTGCACAGAAACATTGGCCAATTCTTTCCGACTGGAAGGGTGATGCAGACACCTGGGAAAAATGGACACTGTTCACCCCTGGAGAGGATCATGCCTTTGATTCTAAAGAACATCTGAACGACTGCAGTTTCCTTTTCATTTTCAAAAGACAGATCCAGAGACAGAGAAGCATCGATCAGACTGTCAAACCTCAGAGGGAAGGTGGGGGAGGGTGGGGGCAAGGAGGAGAGATCAACCAAAGGACTTGTATGCATGCATATAAGCCTAACCAATGGGCACAAACACTAGGGGGGTGAGGACATGAGTGGGGGTGGTGGTGGTGGGGTTAATGGAGGGATGAGGACACATATGTAATACCTTATTCAATAAAGAAATTAAAAAAAAGTTTTTCAAGTCTTACATTGTTTAGAAATACTTTCTATTGTTTTTATTTCTGAGCAATATGT